TACCAAATCAAGTAAAGTAAATAAAGAGGCAAGTATTTTAGATACAATAATAAAGGAAATGTATATGTACTTGTTAATTGATAAAATAATATCGATATGACACACCATGACAATTTAATTATTAATATGTATTGATATTTGATAGACATATTTATATATACATTCTATACGTTATTCATAATAAAAATTATGACGTACTTAATATTAATCATAAATATTTCACTAGATAATTAAGATTTATTATGAAAGTTCGGTTAAAAGGACTACAGTAGTAGTCATTTTAACCCAACCTAATCTATAAATTATTACTTAATGTAGTAATCACTGAATTATTTTCAATGGAAACAGATAACACAATACCATTTATAAAAAAATTAAAATATTTAACTTGCTATTATGGATATAGTTACATATGTAAAATTCGTCAAGATTATCTAAATTAAATACAAACGCAAAATCGTAAATGTATAATATTGAAGAACGACTTTTTTGCATTGTTTTTTCTACTAATTTTCTATGTTTAATACCAACGATAGATACAAACTCAATTTATATAAAGTATAAATGACTAACGAAAACTAAAATATTTTTTATAATAAATAGGTAAAACAGATTGAAGGTTACTATAAAAAGTAATCATAATACCAAAGATAGACATATGTGTCAACAAAAGAACTGATAAAAAAAATGATGCATCAGTGTATACTGTAAAATGTATCCATGATAATGACTTGAAATGGGAAACCATTATCGCTAAATATACAATATTAAACATATCCTGTCAGATAAAAATGGAATGTTCGTATCAATTTTATGTGTAAAACTGTAAACGGGCTTAATATACTTTGCATGTTATGGTAAATTTAAAGAATCGCCTTCAATATTCGGAGTTAATAGTATAAATATAATATCGATGTGTACCTAATTTGTTTATAAACCTAAACAAAAAAAATAATTATTTTTAATATTGAAGAACGACTTTTTTGCATTGTTTTTTCTACTAATTTTCTATGTTTAATACCAACGATATTACAAACTAACACTTAATGGGCATTTCAAATCAAAACTGTTAGTTGTTTAATAAAACCCCGAATTCGAAGATATTCCGTTAAATGCGAAGATGAAAACAGAATATATAACGAAGAATATCGATTACTTATTAAAAAAGGTTTTCCTTCGATTTCTATTGTGTTAACGAGTGGGAAAGAAAAGCATTTATTGTTCAAAAAAGCATTATTGATTATTCGGCTATACAAAAGTCATACATTGAAGAAATTCCGCCTTCTGTAATGGCATATACATCTTTTAACAACTTATATTTTGATGTGTATTATTTATTAACTAATATAATAAATTGGTTTGTTTTCTTTTAATTTAACTTCAAACGGTTATAAAACCAGATTACGGGATAGCAGCAATTTTTTCAAGGGATATCGAAATAAACCATCGAATCTGTTACATAGCACAGTCACCGATTACCTAAATAAAATATGTATGTATATACAAATCGCCTATTATTTAACTTTTCTTTTAACTGATGCTTTGTCAAACTCAAGTGACGTTTAAAAAAAATTCTAGTAGAATACATACAAATCTAAAATAGAACGAATTGTATTTCCGGCAACGCCGTAAGCACGAACAGAGTTCAGTGGCCGTCCGGTTTACGACGAATCTCTCGCGAAACCGGTTCCTAATAAAAAAAAAAATAATAATAATAAAAATAACGGATCTTGCTATTTTATTTCTCTCAGACTATCTCGTTCAATGTTCCATTAATTAAGATCTACCATCAGCCAACAATTACCCAGTAATGTTCATGACTGGAACATTTATAATGATCAGAGGAAAAGGAATACTAATATACACACTACACACTGTAAGGTAATGAATGAAAATAAAAATAATAATTTTCTTTTGTTACGCGATCTGAAGTAAATGTACGATTATAAAATATTTTGAATCCATCCAAGCCAAATATTACGATGTCCAAGCTCACATTTCAAAACCAAACTATATTATAATGTTTAAATCCTTATAAGCGTACATTGAACTGGTTAGCAGGCGAATAATAAAAATAACCACACAAATAATTACTTAACATATCACCACGCATTCTCGCATATTGTAGTTAACCACTGTTTACATAAATATATATTTGCAAATCAGCTTTTTTAAATTATTAGAAATGAACCTATAACACAACTGAACAGATTTTTTAACTATAAGCTAACACTTATGATTTTATACACGTATGCATAATCTATATGAAATTCTGTAACAAATTACTTGATAACCTTCACCCATCAAATGAAAAAATTCTATGTAACAATGAGGTTTGAAAATTATATAAGTATACTATTATACTTATTATAATAAGTATATATAACATATATAAAAACATGTATTATTTATTATTTGAATATTTGTTAACTGTACTTACTCTAAACTAATTTTATTGGATTAACATGAATGGTAATTATTTTGTATTATAAATAATTATTCTACATAGATAATAAAAATATACTATACGTTTATTTTCATAGTCACAAAATACAGAAGAACAATTATTTTCATTGATTTTGTTGACCCTAATAATTAATAATTAATTTAAAAGTTATAATAAATGGATAACAAATATTCATTTAAACTAATTATGTCTATTTTATAAAACATAATACATTGATTCGTATAGGGTTTTTTTATGCATTATAATTCAGTTAGGGTTTAGAGAACATTTAGTATCCGTAAATGAATATCAATAATAAGGACCAGAAATTGTACAATGTTATATTTAAGAACAATGTAAATAATATGCGTTACCCAAAACCTTATAGCATATAATTGGAATACTCTATAATTTATTCTCGACAATAATATGCCCCAATAAAAAACTATATGCCACCGTTATATCTCAGAATACTTTATTACAAATAATATAGATTTATTATAAACAATTATTGGAATTAATATTTATTTATATAGGTAGGTACTTATTTCAATGATATTAAAAAGAAAAATATATTCAAATCTATATGCATATAATATACATTCATCAACTTCTGTGAGCTGTTTAATATGCTAAGTTCACATTATTTATTATTGCACTGTTATTTATGATTATCACATAAATATTATACAATTAAAACAGCTCGTTGAGTTAACGAGCTTGTTCGTTTTGATTGAGTTCATCGATTTAATATTGCGGAATTCAGCACCATATTAAATAATCGGTCTAGTTGAATATAGAGGACAGGGGTTTGAGATAAGAATTAATTTTATGTATTTGTTGTGAATACATTTTAAGGAAGAAAAACACTGTAATATTATACGATGTAATCGTAAATGATTTAATAGAATATATATATTTCATATTGACTTTTTTCTTCTTTTCAGCTGGTTATTTACACATAAAACATATACGTTATTTATACCTCAATATATATATATTTTTTGATATTCTCTTTAAACCGTAAAAAAGCGTCCTTTCTAAATACGAAACGCATTACTCCATACTTCTAAAGTTCTAACGGTGAGCGGAAACGTTTATCTATATCCGGCACCAGCGTTTTGCCAACAGACGCATGAGTGTTCATCCGGCACCGTACACCAAATCCCACCCCTTGTTGCATACGTCGAGACATTCAGCGTCTTTTGCACGAATAATTTAATCCCTCTTCTCAACATTACCATGGCAAAGAATATGCTCGGCGTACAGCGAGGCGGTCCCATTAGCATTATTATTGAGCGATATTCGTTGTTATAATTTTTCGATTAAGCTTGTATTATTGACGTGCACGCGCGTGCGTTGAATCTCTGTGTGACAAAATAACTTTTAATTTCCTGTGCCCACTGTGCGAGGTTATACACTATTGATGGCTAACTCGATACATTTTACCCGAGCGAACAATGTTGTTGTATCATGTACGTTATACGCTAAAAACATTAAATAGGTATACATATAACCGGCACGGATGATATCGGTAGCAGAATTTATAGAAATATTGCATATTATTGAGGTGGACGAGATGGGAGAGAAAAAAAACCACAATAATAAACTAGTTAGTTTACATACAGTTCTCAAGCATTTTTTTTTAAATACAATATAAACGACACAGCCGATTGTTCGAATAAATAATAAACATTTGTATAAAGATATTGTTGTGTTATGTTAATAAAAAACCTATAGTATTTCTAAAAAAAATAGAACTACAACCCTAATTAAAGATACTCAAAACCGAAAAATAATTATAAATACATTACAAATGCAAGACAACCTGTTTTGATTTGATCAACAATGCACCACCGTTAGGATGTATAACGCTCCATGACAAGAGTATGGCACTTGAATACCCGCCGCGCCGCAGGGAGGCAAATGGAAACGTTGAAATTTGAAGATGATTTATAAAATAATCGACAGCCCTTAATGCGATTATAAGCCTCGAGAGGTATAGCTAAGTGCTTTAGTTCAAAGTTATATAAAATGAACATAATCCGATCAAAACCCGGCAGTGTTAACCTTTTGCTCTTTTGATAGAATTTTTGTGGATTTTCTTTGACCACTGAAGCGCTAAGCATATCACCCGACAACACCTTTAGGTATCAATAGAGAAAATATTAGAAAAAATGAAATGATATTGAACTCTGGGAGATCGTTACTGAATCTAGTCTATTTCTTTCTTAGATACGCTGCAACTTAATAATAAACGCAAGCCTCAATAAATAAATATACTATATCATGAAATTGAGTAATTTGTTTCAGTCAGTTTAAGTTTAATATTCTAATGTGCTACCATGTGAAAAAGATTCAAAGTGACACGTAAGAAATAAGAACACATACAACTACATTTACAACGATTGTGAAGTAAACATTCACTAAAAATAATTTAAATATAATATATAACACTGTTTTTGATTTTTGACACTGGTAATAAAAAAACTTTAGTATGTCGATTAAAAAATAGATATAAATGTGCTATTATTAAGATATAATACTTAAATGTATTCATAAATTATCATTATATGGGTTTTCAAATTATCTTATTTTAAAGTCATTTTAAATAATATTTCGAAAACGAAAAAGTTGATTACGACCGAGCGTTGATACATCTATGATCCAGATTTACTCTTAACCATGTATGATTAAGAGCACAAATCGAATTACTGCACTGGGTGACCTCTTCCCACTTGAACTACCACAATGGTATCACTACCAGCTAGGGATTTAATTAAATTTTTCCACAAGATAGGGAATAGAGGAGGCACAATCAACACACACATACAAACTCGCAGGCACACACATACTCATTTTCAACCCTTTCCAGAGATACATAATTGGTTTGGTAAGTAATTTTAATTAGTTCCGGACATCCCATTGAAGTAAATTAAGTTTTGAAACAGGTGAACCAAATTAAAATAATATTAAAATTCTATCAGGTATTCCTTGGTAATTTATATCATAAAATTTAAAAATTACTTACGATAACAGTACTTTGTAAACTTTGATTTATATAAACATCACTCACCTGAAAATAAAATAAATATTAGTATACAGAACATAGAAAAACGACAGTTGATATATGTAAAGCTATATAATATAAAGTAAGTAATAAAAATATAATTTTTATCATCTCTTAAATTATTAAATGGATAATTTGTAATTGCAACACGTCCATATTGCGTAAGCATATTATGATACATTAACTACATAGGCTATAAAAATAACATTTCACCGTGATGTTTAAATGTTTTTTTGTCAAAAGATTTCAAAAGATTTGATGAATAAACGATAATTTGCATTAAATACAAAAATGAAAATACAACCGTGTTCTCCTAGATACGTAGATCGATTATAATGATTTATTCTAGTTACTACGCGTAATAACATAACTATCATTGCAAGTAAAATTAACATTCTGTAAATTAAAATCACGGAAGGTTAAATAAAATAAAAACATTTATCAAAAATTAAACCGCTTTTGATTTTAAATGTAATTAAAAAAATATTTTTTTGAAGCCCGTCATTATTTTTGTAGATAAATACTCTTTATTTCTTTTATAATTGAAGAGTTTTAAAATGACACTAATCCGACCAACTCTTACTGTGGTCTCAAGCTACTTGAACATTTTAAATATTATAAAGTGTTGGAATTTTATTAACTTTTAATTCCTACTCTGTGCATCGTTCGTTTAATATACATCAATATACAGTTATTTTTAGGCAAATGAATTATGAAAAGCGTACATACACTATTTAAATAATAAAAGAAAGGCTTTTCCACTATACATAATAAGGTGAAAGTTAAGGCGATCGATTTTCTATCAAGGAGGGTTCTCCTTCTGTTGGTTTATGACATTCGATTTGATTCGCGTCATTATGCATTAGGTATATATAATATTATATTAAAGAAAAAAAGAATTTGTACAACATATTATATTTTGTTATTGTGCGATGACACAAAAAAAATTGGTTTGAAACCTCTGTTTTTTTCTTTATCAAGACAATATAACACCATTTTTAATAAAACTATTTTTTTTCCAATATCAAACAGAAATATAAATAAATAACACCAATTAAACCGATTTTAATATTTTGAATAACCAAACAATATAGTATACATTTATAGGTTATACAAAGTCATAGGCAGATCATGGCCAAAATAATTACTATGAAATAATTAAAAACCAGTGTCAAATAAGAGATAAGCAAACCAATAAGTAGTCATTTTTGTATTCAAAAATTGGGTCTATTAGTCATTGAATTAATTTAGAGCAGATTACTACAGTTTCTATGTACGATCAACTCTTCAAACGTTTTTAATATAAAACAATCTTAAATTAATACTGTAAAACCGTTTATAAAATATTATCAATGAGTCAATGCAATTTAATTTATGCTACCAACATGTCATTGAAATTAAAATTTGTAGTAAGATATAACAAAAAAAAACTAAGATAACAATTTAGTAAGACACCAGTAATTACGCAGTATTTTTAATTATTTACTAGCCCACTACCAGCATACTTATTTATTATTAAATTTGTAATTTAGAAATTAATTTGATAGTTTTGCGTAACATTTTTAACACGATGACGAAGAATTTTGTCAATAATCGGAAATTGTAAAATGATCGGACTAACGAAAAACATGAAATGCGAGTCACTTTATTTAATAAAATTGTCGGAATAGCATAAAATAAACATTTTCATCGAAACTAATACATATATACTATAAAAACCATCACATACACAGTTTATGCAACCTTTTATTTATTAACTAATATAATATATATTAATAAAAAAACAAAGGTAAACAATAAGCACACCGCACACGCACACGGTGATGATTTATACAAATAGAGATATGGATGAGAATCGATATTATCTTTTTTCACACCCAGAGAGCTGTACCCCTTTTTATTTAAATACCTACATAGATAAGCACAAAGAATAATATATAAAATGCCTTACTAGGTACCTAATCTACCTACGCACATAAATAATGGTACCAATAGAACGGAACTCAAATACAATACATCACATCACATATCCGTAATGCTTGACCAAAAAAAAATCTGTATACCTTTGTCCAGTGATCGACATACACATTTCATAGAGTATTGCGATTGAAAAAACGCCCCACAATTATGTGTCAAAGCTTGAAAAAGGGTAAAAAAAACATAGAATATATTTAAGACTAAACTTTAGTATACGTTAGTAACTAATGGACGGTGAAAAATGATTTCTAATTAAATAAACGTCAAAATATATTAAATTATTGCTCCCTCAATGAAACTCCCCTGCACTTTATTCAATAGATAAAAAATTACTGTTTACTTTTTTTGAATTCGTACATTTAAACTTTCATTGTTTTTAAGTGAAGAAATCTCATTATAAATAAATTAAAAAACAAAATACAATTGACATGAATGTATTTCTTTTATTCTTTCATAATTCGTTTTAAACGACTGTTTTTTTTATAATTAAGAGTTCCGAGTGCCAAGTTTTAAGGGTTTAGATGGAAACTTTTTATTTATCACCTATTTCTAACATAAAAGTTTAGTTTTCTAGCACACTCTATTTAATTTAATTTTGCTTTTTATCAGAAAAAATATTTATATCTTCAATAGATAAATGAACCACAAGTAAAAGTTACCTAAATGACGTATCCACCATTCTAGAAAATACCTTACTGAAGTTCAAGAAATTAATGATCGGGTAAACTAAAAGATGTTATAACTAATGATCGTATGACGATACCTTCCTTTACAGAGGAAGTTTCAAAATTAATCGCCATTGTTTTAATATTGTGGGCAAGTGAGGGAGGAGGCACCTTGAGTTTTCAGGACTTTTTGTTTCAAGCCTTTAAAGAAAGTTAATTTCATTAAATTTGCGGCTGAAAAACGTATGGCACTTAAATTGCTCCGGATACCTTTTTGGTCTTGAAAACCATTTTTCATTGCTTTCATTTTTTTGTATATAAATACAAATAATAGTAATGAAAGCCGGTTTTTTAAGTAGATACTTGAGTGGCAATAATAAACCACAGTTTATATACACTAAATCATAGTGTTATTATAAGACCAAATAAATAAACATAAAATGCATTATTATACTTTCTTTCACGTGGAAAAAAGTAATAATGCATACTATTTAATCATTTTTTACTATGTTCAGCGGATAAGTAATAAAACACTTTATTCAAATACAACTACGTCATCCAAGACACATAATGACACGAAATATTGGAAATAGACTAATTCTTTTAAACAATAATGTAATTAAATACCTATAAAGTATACAACATTATGTAAATAATAGCCGACTAGAACTTAAAAAAAACCAGGTACCTAGTAATTTATATAAAAAACACATTTTTACAATTTAAGCACAAATAACTAAAGTAAGAGAAAAAAGACACGTGGAACTATAATAATAATAAGAAATATTAAGACACGCTGATCTCTACATTTATACAGACAATTCGTTGTGACATGCGAGTTTGGGTCAATACTGATGAGGGTAACCATAATTCGGCCTGGAAAATATCGTTAGATCATCAATCTCTGGGATCCCTCCTTTTTCATACTCAACAAGCATTCTGAGAAGGAATTTCATTATTATACGACGACGTAAGTACAAGGAGATAGAAAATGAGAGAAATTATGATGTATAAATATAATATATTGAAGATTGCGGGGAAGAAGAAATGGAAAAATCCACGTGGGTATAATTTTCTTACATAAACGATTTTTACCGAACAATAAGTCCTCAATGTGTATTTAGTATAAACCTTTTCGAAATCAACAATTGCGTATAAAACTGATATGCATTATTACACATGTATAGTACAAAACGCTATACCAACAGAGAAAATAACAATAGGTTTATTTAGAGTGTTTATAAATGATGATATAGCTCACAAAATCAAAATAATAAATAAAAAAAAACAAGAATTATACATTATTTTCTGTGTCAAATTAAAAACCTTGAAGACTGTCAAACGTTAACAAATTTGTATGTAAATATAATATTATTAATAATATGTAATATAGGTATTCGAATTCGCCACAGATTCTTCATGAAGACTCTAAAGCAAAACATGACAGGCTCCCAAAGCGTGTAACACACGAAAACAATCTGCTTCTAAGCAGTGGTTTTCGAAGAGTCATGTCCCCAATTTGGAAGATTTGTTTTGTTCTTTGCCGTATTGATTAAGACACAACAATTGTTCGAATACTACGTGTCCCTGGGCATGTTATTGTATCAAAAGATGACCAATCAGCGTCTGACTTGGAGAACGCAATAATCTCTCCACCGTATTGTCACATTTCTAACAGCTTTTATACAGTTCATAATAATATATTTCTAACATCTGATATCACGAACGAGTTTTTAATGAAGTTAATTAAGTTTAAAAAAAACTATATTAAATTGCATTGCTTACGTATAATTTACTTTAACGTAACTACAACGTATGTCAAAATTAAATTAAACTGATAAAATCTTTTGAAATGCACCACAACACACAGCATATACACATAAATGTTCATTTAACTTTTAAGAATATTATTAATAAACATTTATGTTTGGTCGTTTAGATATAATATATTATAATTAACTTTGCTGTTTAAATTATTTATTATATTAAATAACACATTTGTATTGTATAGTATAAAAACCTACGATTATGATTCAAGAAAACGACGTTTAAGACCTAGAACAAAAGAATTTTTTTTAAATAACTGCTAGCGGGCATCGTTGTGACAATTAGAAGATTATTCCGATAAACTCGTGAAAATGTTGTGGCAAAAATTAAAAAAAACACCTTATGGGGTCGTCACGCTCTGGTTGCAAAGTAAAACGTATCATTGTTAGTGGTGGGTAGATTTTTCCATCGCTGTGTCAACAGCCTCTTAAAAAACTTAATATTTCTAGGGTTTTTCACGCAAACGAACAAAAATCAATCTGTACACGGTCTACTTGTATTGGTTTCGCACGAATAAAACTTTTTGTGAGTAAAACTGATCTAGAATGAACCATGAAAACTCAACGACCTGTATCCAGAGGTCTATGACTTTTAGAGCAATTGCTAAAATTTGGGTACTATACTCCACCAATTCACTTTAAATGTGTTACATTTTGAATTTAAATAACGCATTTAAATAGCAATATCCATGATCGCGTAAAGTTCGTTAAATCTATACATGTAACATAATATATAAATATTATAGAGGTATAAGCAAATATACATATATATTATATATATGTATATATAATATACATTATACGCATGCGTGTAATATATTTATGCGGTTATAAAAAATAAAACAGATTTATGGACGAGGTCTAGCGAGATTTTAGAAACTGTATATACACCATTTTATTTTTTTGAAATCGTAATATATTTCGTTGTAGTCTCCCAGGACGAATAGAGTTATTATTTCCCATTATAAAATAATTCATTTTTTTTTCCGGGCCAAGTTAACCGGCTTAAATCGCACACGCATGGTGTTTAACGAAAACACGTCGCCGCATAACACCCGTACCCACCACCATGCATGTACTTAGAAAACTGTTCTACCTCCCCACTTTTTTTTAATGTCGTTCAGTAATGAGTATATCGCGTATAGTCGGACGTGTGAAAACGATACGGGGTATTATTCATCCGTATTAGCAAAAGAGTAAAAGAAACAGTGACGTAAAACACGAGTGGGCAAACGCCACGGGCTCACAACTGAAGAGGGCCCTAAACTAACCAACAATACCCTATTTTTATATATGAGATTACAAATGTCACAATAAAATAATAAATATTAAATAATATTATTTTGGCTTTTGAGATAAAGTCCACGAATTACAGATCAATCGATCCATAACCAATTATAGAATATAAATGTATGTATATTATTATTTATTAAGTAAAGTTTTTTCTAATACTATTATATAATAAATGTTGTGATTTTATAAGATAGTTTATTAAATCAAAAACGTATGTAATTTGTTATGGTTATATTTAATTATAATATAACATATGATACAATAAATTTTGTCACTGTTTGTTTACTTTTTTTGAGGCCCATATGAGTCATTGCACACGGGCCTCTATAAACCTAGTTACGACACTGAATAGAAAGATGATGGCTGATGGAACAGAGAAAACGTTTTGTGAATAGAGATCAAAATGCGTATACATGGCACAAACCATGACAGTGGCGATGGTCATTATTTGTAGAGAAAATAATATATTTTACGTATATACACTATACATGATATAAGATTTTTGTATGTTTCTTGCCAAAAATATATTATTGTTAATATTATATTTTCTTTTCTCGTAGACGCGATGTATAAAAAATAGTAGAACACCACATTGAGGAGACATGCTAAGGGGACGGTTTTGAGTTTAATCCCAATAGAAAAAAAACCACAAGAGATCTGCTGTGGCTAAGTTGTGCTTTTGTTATGCGTGGGACGGATCGGGTATACAAGATTCGCGCCGTGCACGTACCATGGCCTCTTTGATCTGCTTGACGCCGATCGGGTTGAACCACTGGTGCATGTTGATGAACCGTTTGGGCACCATTTTCAAATGGTGCCTTTGGCCGGCTACAGCCACCGCCGCAGCAGCAGCGGTCGTGGGTATCGGATACGTGGCAGACAGGCTGCAACCACCGACGGACGACTGGTGGTGTTGTGGTGCCACGGCACCGGTTGTGTCCACGGTCAACGGGGTGGTTGCCGCGGCATCCTGCACTAGACCGACGCCGGTGGCCAGAGGATCTGGCATCGGGTTTTCCAGTACCACCATGGTGTCGGCGGCGTTGGAGTCTAGGCGGTCAACAGATGGTCAAGTGCCGCTACACGCACTGCCGGATTTCGACCATGGTGGTATAGCGAGCGTAAGTTAAAAATTAGTACCTATTTATATTAGAATTATGAGATATTACACAAACTTCGCGAAAGTGTTTTTTTTTACGTAAAAGAAAAAAATGTTTTTACTGATATCATAAAATATGTCCGCAAAGATGCGACAACCGCGAGGATTGATATCGGGACGACAAATACACGAACAAAGTTAACGACGTAGTCCACCGATAAAGACAGTCGCACAAACACTGATGCGTGTGCGTGCGCGCGAATGGAGGCGGCGGCGGCCGCGTGTGTTTCGCCGCGCGCGCGTCGTGGTCGGACACATAGGCGGCAGCAACGGCGTTCGCGCAAGGTGGGAAGAAGCGCACCCCGCACATCATCCGCAAAGAGTGTGCCGGCGCATGCGCACACCACCGCGGCCGCGCCGGCGTCCAATCGCAACCGGCCTCACGGATTGAAGTCGCAGTCGTCGGACGATCGCGCAAGAAAATTCCCACTATTTTCGCGAAACTACGCAACGATAATAAACGAGAGTCCAACGGACGTCCGGAAGTCTAATATGTATTTTAAATAATAAAAATAACAATAGTAATAATAATGATGATGATACTAAAAATAGTAATAATATACCGTAACAATTTAAAATACTGTCGTGGTGATGACATGGTAAAAAAAAACCCTAACGCTCGTCCTATAAACTGTTTAATACGTAATCGGTTTGGATAGGAGTGTGGATTTAAACCCCGACATTGCACGAGGGAAAACCATCGGCTGTCCGACAAAAAATACGCATTAAGTTATATAATATTAATAATTACTTAATTTGTCCTACTCGCTGGCACGCCGCGACGATGACGAGTATGTAACGTTTGGACATGACAGCGGAATTAAAATATTACACTGTATTGTACGCAGCGTGTAGAACGCATTTCATGCTATGTGAATATGCAAATGTGTGAAAAATAACAACACGCCACAGACTACTGCTGTTCATCACCGATGACAGTGAAGGGTTTTTATTCGCAATTAACAGTTACTTTAGAGCTCAAAATGTATAACGATATAATAATAAAAAAAAAACCATACAACCGTATTCACATAAAAATATTAAATTCTCAATGAACAAAAAAATAAAACGACGATGGTTATGAAGTTAATAATAACATGCAGTGCGCAGTCATATTTTAAAAATATATATAACATTACTATATCATTAATCTACCACAAGATAAATCTCAGTATGACGAGGTGATGTAAAGACGGCAGCAATTAAAACAAATTATTTTAATTATATCAAACTGGAAATGCTTTAACACTCTATACCTATCTCAAATCGTCATTAAGTACAATCTTTAAAATGATTCGTTATGTCGTATTCTCAGGAATATTGTACCTACCGGCATAACCATTTCTAAATAAATTACTACGATATTTAATTGCGTTTCTATGACATGTTATTTCAACGAAGATTTATTTCTCAGCTTGACTATACATACAGTTATTATATTGTAACTTTTTATTTTTCAAACTGAATAGCTATATTTTTCTCAGAGGTTCATTACCCTTCTCCAAACTGTAAGTTTTTACCTTCTGGTAATCAAATTAAATCTGGGATACCACAGTATAATATACATTTTTAAAAGCCATCGTAAAAACGTCTTGAATACACAAAAGAAACACCCAGAGCTGGCCTTATTAAGCAGACTTTAAGAGGGGCGAGCGTAAAGAAAAACCTCATTTAACAGCAGCCATAAAAATTTGAGATTTTACCCTCGCGCCGCTTCACACAAAAGTTATTGGCAGATTTAATCATTTAACTCTTGTAATTAGGTTAGATTCATGTTACCAATGAACATTTTTTAATTTGCTTCATCCAACAGTATTATAATTTTTGAGAATACAAAAGGCCACTTAATGCACGTATTTAGTTTAAAAATACGATAGGGTGATTTATGCTTAGGTTGTGGTACAACCATCAAATATTTTCTAATTCCGTATGTGACAAATTAATTTAATAAGTTACACGAAGATGATAATTAAGTTTTATCACGAGAAAAATTACTTTCACGATTAGTTTGGATATCACACGAGCACTGCTGCAGCAGTCTAAGGAATAGTCAACTTCCAATTTAATACCAAACGATATAAAAGAAATTTAGTTCTTTAAAAACTAACAGAGATTATAAAAACGTCAGATTTTTAATACAAAATATTAAGTTTCGGTAAGCTGGTACTTACATGTGTAATAATAATTAATATAATATAATATACCAGTTCCGGCAGTTATAGTTCTATAACATAAATAAGTTAAATTTCTATGCAAATAATTTTGTATACTTCCCGTGTATACAAACGTATTTATTTTTAATCCTCGGACGTCTTATGCAAGTGAATCAACAACCAGTGAACCTCATGAAAATTATATGAAATAGGAGATGACAAATTTTTATAAAATAAAAATTATCGTACTTCGAGTTACATTGTTTACGCCAAATAAAATAAAATCTTATTAACAATGTGCTAAAAATATTTTGTGAAGAGGAAAAATACTACTCTTCGCCATATAAATTGAAAAATCAAAAATAGTCTAGTATTATATCTGGAATAAATGTATAGATATTACCAAAATGTCCACCAACTCATGCTCAATGGCTGAAAAGTTAACACTTTGTCCAGGGAACTTATTTATTGAACTTTATTCGTTGAGGAAATCCAAACGGGTTTACTTAGATGCATACGAATATAACATAATATTTCAACATCGTAAACGGTTAATATACTTTTAGTTTCTTTAGATAAATTTACCACTGAAAACTGACACGAGTCTATATTATTAAATGTAGTGCACGAACTCACATTACAAAATGAGATATTAATTAATAGATTTTTCTTTATATTTTTTTTTTCATACGGAGTACTTGAGGTCAACGGTTCAAAGAAAATATCGTTTACCAGTCATCCGTGCGAAAAGCACTCCGAGCGTTATGTCCCGGAACAACGTAAAATGTATTTCACCTCCAACTCTAACTCACCCCTCCCCCAACCGCTACCAACGACATAATAATCACATCACAGACACACTTCCCAATAAAAGAACAAAGCACATACACAATCAAACAAACAAAAAGCGGGCATCGATATAAGTATACGTTCACGCGTCGCATGCAGCGGAGGTGTTATTCCCGCCCGGACGTGAGCCGCTGTCGACGGATAATTCGAGCAAAGATAAATCGAGACGGATTTCAGGCATACAGCGATAATCGTTTACCTACCCGTGCAAAATAAAATCTGGAAAAAATTCCAAACACTATACGCAACGTGCAGACAACAAACATCAGCATACGTACACATATCCGATGTCTATACTCATATCCGGCGTAAATGTCTTTAAATATTCTATCACGCGAAGCTTATGGCAATGTAAATATTTAGACAACCAGCGGCTTCTGCGTTTGACGTGAATATTGTGCACGGCCGGTTGCTGTGTACCGCCGCGCGCACGAATTGCCTATGCTTTTTGAACGTTTTTCTCTCATCGTAGCCATCCAATATACCTACAACTACTACAACTATAAAGTCAGCGGTCACGAACAACGTGATATTCTACAATACGCATATACACAATATATGATATCCACTCGAAATAGATAGGTCCCGTATAGAAATCAGAGGCCAGCACCGCACACGGCACAGCAGACACTGTCACCTCGGTGTACCGTCACCGTTGTGCACCTTTTCGACGGTTCACCAGTACACACAAAAAAAGCCGCAGTGGAATTTTCAACGCAGAAGAAAAATCGTCGCGTCGCGAGGTCGAGCGAACGAAATTTATAGCGATGAGACGGACGGCGGAAAAAGCCGAACCGGGAAGGGCAGTACACAACATTGCGGCGGAGGGCGTGCGTCACACACACGTACGCGAAGTACATTAATGTCGGTGAATTATAGCGGGGTCAAGTCACGTGGATGACGAGGATAGTCCAACACTGCGTGGTTTTCCGTGATGGTTTTAAAACAAAAATTAATGACCGGTAGTAATAATTTAAATTTTTTAGTTTTTTTTTTTTAGTTATGTATAATGTGTTTTAAGGGTAACGAAACTACGGACAAGCCGCAGAGGGATGCAAGCAGAGTTTAGATAGTACGGACGTCAAAAAAATATTTTGTATTATCGTTATTGTAACTCTTCGTAAACAAAAAAACAGGATTCATGCTTTCACGGGAAATGTTAATCATAATATGCTCGTAGTCGGTTTCACGAATCTTTTACATCACTGTATTTTTCAAATTACTATTTATCAAAGCGAATATTTATCTATCTTTTCAAACCCTATAGTCACAATGAGACGTTTACGCGTGCACTAGAAAACAATGGGTATACGGATAAATTATTCGCTGATTAAAAGGCACAAATATGTTATGGTAAAATGCATACAATCAGTATCAGATTAGGAGTTCTGAATCATAGCTCATTATTAGTTATTACTCATTATACACACGCTAACTAGCTGTATTGAATACAATTTTTAACGAGCAAATATAGCAAATATACATAATATACAAAAACCATTATTAATATAATATATTATAGGTACTATGGAAAAGACGACAAAAAAACTTAATTAATTGCTAGGATAATACAACTAAAACAGTGATTTTCTTCTAGGTCAATAATCCAGAGTAAAATAATTATGTCTTCTATGCATAAAAAATTATCTCTATTTTAAAGTTGGTTGGTAATTTGACAATCCGTTTTAATCGGGAGAATTTCTCCCCTTCCGTCAAATTCCTAACGCATAACCAAAGTGATCCACACACCCACACACTACAATCCACTCGTTTAGCTGTAACTACATAAATAAGAAGAAATATGTCGTATATTATACAGAACTGCGACAAATATAATGAAGTGTCCGCGAGACCTTAAACCGGATCTAGTCTAAAAACATATACAACCCTTTCATGTAAGTATTCTGCGGTACAGCCTGCCTACAGATCAAAGGGAAATAAATAAACAAACCACCAACCCGTCACCCGCAAACTCCCTATTATGTATACACGAATATGAGTACCTACATATGTACACATGCAATTTACAATATACGTCACAGAAATGTAGGTATGCCATCATATTCTGCGTATATTAACATTTTCCACTACGCCAGGCGCAGGACGTCTTTGACACAACCTATCACTATTTCATTTTCGACGGAAAAAATAAACGGAATAAAAGGGATCTTTTGTCGCGTGGTTTTTTTTTTATTATTATTATTTTTATTATTACTACGATAAGCAAACAATGCAAAAATCGTCACGGCCGCGAAGAACACGCACGCCAGGCTTGGAACACGTTCGCACGACTAACACGTAACGGGAATTCTCGCATATACATAAGGATTACACAGCACGGCTGCGGCGGCAACGGAGGCACTTATGTTATGTAGGTACAACGCATATTATATACATAGTCCGCATAATCGTCTAGCAATAAAGTGCACACAATAATATAATTTATATTGTTATAAATTATAATAAATATAGTGGGTAACTGAATGATGAAAAGCGAGCACGTGAAAGCCGGGCATCGGATTGGGACACTTTTTGCGTCGCGATATAAAAAATTAAGATCCCCGGTTCAGTAAACGTGAAATAACAGGTCGTTAGAAAATTGATACAGACTCGTCGCAATACAATAATACGAGTATATGCACTGCTATATTATAATGTAGTCGCCGTAATGACATTAACCAAATGAAATCGAATATGACGTTAAAACACTCAATGCCGTGTAGCAGGAAAGTCGCTTGTGATGTATAATATAATTATAAAATAAACTTGTCAGGATTCTTAGAAGAAGAAAAACACGCGTGCTGTGGGTCCGTGTTGTTTTTTTGGCTTCGATTTTTAATTATGAATATTTGTATCCAGCGCAAACCCAGAAGATTTCATTTTCTAGCTAAAATTGTGTATCGTAAAACCTATGAAAATAATATTGTCACAAGTGTATTACTCAATACATAATATGTATTACATATTATAACAACTGCATTAACTGTGTACCTACTACATTTATAACACAGTAAAATACAAATAATGTCCGTTAACGGACACAGTTGTTATTAC